GTCATTGTGAACTTTGACAGGGGTCGGCTCAATGGTAATTGTAACTGTAATTGGCTAGTGATGATGTCATTGTAACCTCGACGAAGGACACTATGGCCGGCACTGTGATGTACTGATGTTGGTCACTTAGACATTGATCACTGTGGCATTAGTCACTGTGGTAATGAGTCAAGTGAAAGGGTATAATAGGGCTGGGCACGGGCCGGGTCGGGGCGGGTAATGCAAAATAAAATGGAACTGCCGGTTCCATTGTACGGTTCGGTCCGGTCCAGGTATTACAATTTTCAAAATAGGAACCGGAAATTACCCGGCCCGTTTGAAACGGGTCGGTCCGGTCCGGGTTTTACGGTTTCTATTATCATGTCTTGAAATTAGTAAAAACTCACGAAGTTCCAAAAATCAATAATCAATAATATAGGACATTACCAAGTTTCAAAATAACAACATAGTGGTGCACATACAACACAAGCGAAAAGTCCAATACTCCATAATTTATTGTATATAAGTTTCAAACAATTAAAGATATTTCAAAAATATGCAACATAGCCAAAATACATATTTTCTAACATTTGTATTTAAACATGTTGTCTAACATCACATATTAAAGTGATTGCTTTTTTTTATATTAAATTTTCAGTACTAGCCAAAGTTGACACATACATGGTGGGTGGTAAACACAGTTTATATATTTTAATAACAATATAATAAAAAATATATAACAAAATCATCTTTAACAAATAATTAAATTCCATAGAAAGGAATAATTCAATAACAATAAAAAGTAATAAGATATTTATGAAACATTTAATCAATAATTTGAAAACAAAAGGATGTTACTGCAACTCAATTTAAAATCCTACTTCTAGCAAAGGAAACAAAACTATTTCAAAACCGATTATCACAAAACTACTAATAAATTAATATACAATAGATATAACGGGCCGGGCCGGGTACCCGTTATTTTTTAATTTTGGAACCGGTCCGGTTCCTTAAAAAAAATTACCCGACCCTACCCGGACCGTTTTATTGCAACAAAAAATGGAACCGGCCCGTTTTGGACCCGAACCGCCATTATCCGGACCGGACCGCGGTTCCAAGACCCGTTTGCCCACCCCTAGGGTATAATGGTCTTCTTACTCTTTTTAGTCCTTTTTTTGGAAAATTTAGAAAAAAGGTCAATATCTTTTTTGTCCATTTGTTATTGGAGTGAATAAATTTTTTCTGCACTATTTCTCTTCATAAGTTTTAATAGAATTAGATTTAGTCAATCTGGATATTAACAAACAAGCTCCAACTTAATAAATATGCCTATGATCACAAATACTCCATGTGAATTATCAATCCGTGAATTGTTAGATGTGTCATTTGGGTACGTTGACTTGCAAAATGACACGATTATTTAGATGATGATTAAATAAGATAATTCAAGTATATTTTGATAAATAACTTTGATATGTATATAACATAATGAGCTAATGGTGATAAAATGGTGATAACTTTGAATTTATAAATGTATTATTTTTAATATTTGATAATTCAGTTGTCAATTAAGAGTGTTATTTATCTTCTAAAATGGAAATGAGAACTGCGACGTCAATAAAAAACGAAAATGATCGAGAACCTTTGCATGAGAGAAATGAGTACTTTTTTGTAATACGAATTGCTCACTAACTACTCATTAATCATATGGGTAATCATGGTCAAAGAAGCAATGTAATATCAATTGATGTCTTAGTGTTTGACATTTGTAAATATGATAAATATTAAGATGTTGCTAATATATCCACATTTAAAATAGCCACATTTAAATGTAAAAAACAGAATTTCCAGCTCGTCACTGGTAGCTTTCAAAGCACACTCGGTATTATATGAAGAAGTGGGAAATAGAGAAAACCGAAAGAAAATAGGCTAAAGGGTCAAATAGATACATGAACTAACTTAAAGTGTTCAATTAGTCCCTTATATAGGAGGTCTGCCCGGCCGTCGCCAATTGGGGCGATTCCCGGTGGCATTTTTTGATGAATTTTTTTGAACATCTTCTTCCTTAAGTCTAGTTCACTCATACCAAATTTCAGCTAAAAATTCAATCGGGAAGACAGTTAAATGATTTTTTGAAGATAACTGCGCAGTTAAACAGCGCAATACATTTCGGAAACTCATTTGACTACCTTCCCGGTTGCATTTTAAGCTGAAATTTGGTATTGGTAAACTAGACTTAGTGAAGAAGATGCTCAAAAAATTTCATCAAAAAATTCAACCGGGAACTTCTCCAATTGGTGATGGCCGGGCTGAACATCCTATATAAGGGGTTAATTGAACACTTTAAGTTAGTTCATGTACCTATTTGACTCTTTAGCCAATAAAATACTATCTCTATGGAGGTTAAATCGTTTCAAGTGTTTTATGTTTCATCCTAGAGATCTTTTTGGATTCTAAAATTCGTATTCACACTTTACTTACAATCAATTAAAAATAAGTATTAACAATGTTGTGAGAAGTAGACTTTACTTACAATCAATTAAAAAATAAGTATTAACAATGTTATGAGAAATTGAGAAGTAACTAAAAATCTTATACAACATTTTATTATTTTTATACCGTTTTGGTGTGAAAAGTACCTCAATATGTTTTGATAAAAAATGCACTAGTATCTTTTAGTCATTTAGAGAATATTGCTAATATATCCATAGAATGTAAGTATGTAACACAGGCAATGTAAATGTGTACTCAGTCATATACTCATACCATAGTACAGAGTATATATTACCAACGAAGATATCAAAAGTGAAACAAACCAATTAGGCAAATACAATAAGAGCATATGATGGAACAGCAGAAGAAATCAAGGAATGAAGGAACCCATGTGGGGAAATAGTATTGTGGGGTTGTACTTCATCGGTTCATCCACCCCTGGAGGTGCCTTGAAATGCTACTACTCCGCAAGTACGTGAATATGTTTGTGTGTCATATCTAGAATATACTCCAACTGTCCAAAAATGTATAAATTCGTGTCCATCCTAGTTAAGTTCTTCTTTTCTTTTGGATAAGAAAATTTGATTCATATGATTTTTATTACTTGCACAACTATATGCTACATAATTTATACTTTCTTAATCTCCGTGCAATGCCGAAATACGAGTTAATTACGGAACAAAGAGAGTAACACTTAATGAACAAAGAGAAATTACATGTTATCTTACACAATCTGCTCGTCTAAAAAAAATACTAACTTTGTCCTACTCAAGTTTACCAAATTGATGTTGGGTGTGAAATTTAATTATAGTCATATGAATCACGAATTGTGTGATTGATGTTTGTGCAGAGGGAAGAGAAATGAATAGAGTCACAAATTCATTAATTTAAAAATAAAGTGACAATTTTTTGGGACAAATAAAAAAAAAAGTTGACAAAGACTTAAAAAATGCTCATCCTCTCTTTATTATAGTGTTTGCTCAAGATAATGGAGAATATCTTTGAAAGATCAAAAGTGATACTATCGTACCAAAAAAATACTAGTATTGGCTTTCTTTTCGGATTTTATCTTCTTTATCCTCGGTAATTCTTTCATCCCCTCCTTGTAATCCAATAATAATAGAATACACATCATATCAGATGAGATCCTATTTGACCATTTTATTGCAAAATAAAATAGATGAATTTAGACTAAACATAAAACTTAAAGAGAGATGAAGGAAAATAATCCTATTTTTTATTTATTCTGTAGTCTTAAACAGAAAGAACTTGCAAATATGCCCCTCGATCCATTGGAATAAAACAATTGATCTCTTTTTCCCAACTGATACCAATAAGATAGTAACTTTCTCGTGAGAACTTACTGATACCAATAAAAGAACTTTATTGCTTTATTTCAATGAGTAGAAGGATGTATTTAGAAGGACTTTGATTTGAAGGTCTGATTGCAGAATCACAAATAGTTTGAGAGCGTATTTGCCTCTTTTCTCAAACTTAAATATATAATTAGAGTAGCAAGCAAGATGTCAGAGGCCACCGCTGGCAATTTGGCACTGATAATCTTGGATAGGAGGGGAAGAAAAAGATAGGAAGGGAGGGTGAATGTTAATTAAAATAAATAAGAATCGGTTTCCAGTGTTAATTAAACATGATAAAATCAATCGAGTACTTCAACTTGTATGAGGTGGAGTAAAAAGTACACTACATTACATTTGACATTCCCAAGCACATTAATTTGGGGTTTTAGTGTTAATTGGATAGGTATTAAAACGTTAATATAACTGAGTTGACTAATGGAGTGTTGAGTAAGAAGTAGTAGTCTACCAATGTTCTAGCGTCGAGCACAAAGGAAAAATTGGCCTTCAGAGGTCGACTGGCAGAGGGAGTCAACCTGCGGGGGTGCATCAACCAAGTGAAAGTCGACTTGCGGGGGACTGACGTCGATCAAGGGGAAGTCGACCTAGGGGACGGGGACTAGCGTCAACCTTCATGAAGTCGACCTATTAGGATTCCCGTTGGCCGAATCGGTCATATTAACGTGTTAATCTAATGGTCATACTCAATTAATACTGAAAACCAAAATTTATGTATTTAGGAATGTCAAATACTACCTCAGTCTCAAATTGTTTTCCAAAGTCAACATTTTTTTGTTAATCAAAGTTAAAGTTAAACCCCCCCTTATGGATAATTAACTTAATTTTAATAATTAAAATTTACATATTTAGAAACTGCATTAAAATTATAAGGTTGCAAAACCTGCATTAAAATTTAATTAAAAAGCTTTACAGAGTATCTTAATTAAGTGAATAGAATGATTGTGTTTGATTCAAAAAGTTAATTTTTGTAATTTTATTTGAGACTGAGGGAGTACACTATATTGTACTGGAGTACTTTTTAGTCCACCCATATAACTTGAGCTGCTCAATTGATCCATTAATGAAGTTTGATACTTTGATAAAGTTTTTTTTTGGGTAAGTTATGATAAAAGTTAGAAATGCAATGCCACGTATTTAAAAAATTCACACTACCAGATTTTACAAGACGAGATTTAATTACCCGCATCTCAGCATACCGTAGCTTCCAGTCTGCCATGGCTTATATTCCTCCCCACAAGCGCCACTCTAGTTCCTCTCCGGCGCCGGAGTCTCTTCTGCCCCCTCATTTTCGCAAAAATCTAAGCCTAAGTGACCGGAACTCAAACAGCAGGAGCACCCGGAAGGACAAGGGGTCCAAACTTATCTACGCAGACAACGCGATTTCTAAGTGGTTCGTGGTCGGCTTGCCCAACTCGGACAAGGAAGATGAATCTTCGCGCAACCTTTCAGCTCTCACCAGATTCGAGCCGGTATCACTCGGATCCTTCGCGAAAAAATCGGGTGAAACCCCCCTTGTTTTGGTTCTGAAAGGTATGACACATCCTATTCTACTTGTTCTTCGCTCTCCATATTCGAAAAAAGAATTTCAACCTAAGCGTGAGGTATAAGTAATTGCGCTTTAATATTTGCTGTTAGCATTACATGTAATGTCATGCAACTGATAAGTATGGCGTGTGACTGATATTTACAGCCTTCTCTTTCCATATTTTTATGCTGTAGACGACTCTGCTGAGAGAGAGGATGCGTTTGTGGAAAAACCGTGGGTTTTTGTTGTTGAAAATGTGAAGCAGGACTTGCTTGCAGCATTGGACAGGGTGAAGAGCGAAATTCTGGAAAATGAACTTGATGGAGTAAAGCCAACTCTAGTTGCCCGCGTTGGAAGAGTTCTCTTTCACGGGTCAGTGGTTTAGAGTTCTGAATTCAAGCATTCATTTTATGTTTATGCTTTTAAAAGATACTCCGTTTATGACTATATTTTCCTTTATTTGTTTCTATGATGATAATTTTAACAACATGCTGCACATGTTGATATATTCACTGCTTTACGAAGTATTAGATATAAACCTGGTAATCATCTAATGTAAGACACTTAACATTCACCTAACTAATTTGATGTCTTAAAATGATAATAATAAAAAAACTTCTACCCCGGTATGTTGTTTCATTTCATTTTATACAGGGTCTCAGTCCATCAAGATGCATTGAGATAGTATGTAAATATGAATCAAGTAATTCTAATACAAATTTGTTCAATGTAATTACTTCCACACATGCATTTTCTGCAAAACACATGACTTTAAAAAGATTCTCAATGCAGAAATCTTTCATATTTACACTCATGGACTGAAAGCAGTTTGAGAACATCGAAAAGATCTTTTTACACTAATGTTCCTCTCTCATATATGGAACACCTAACAAACGAAATTGTTCAAAAAGTTGGACTTGACTTTGAGGGGGATAAGGAGTTGTACCATGTTAAGGTACTGCCTTTTCGCTTTCACATCTTTCAGCTACCTCTTTTTTCACCTACGTTTTAATAGAATAGCATTTTAATGGTTTTTCTTATGTTTGCTGTGTGTAGATCTCTGATAATTTACAGCCTGATTCAACAATCTCATGTAAATGTGCTGTGCGAAAAGATTGTAAAAGCATTGAACTCTACAAGGCAGGTTTCTACTAACATTCCATGACAGCAGGATGGTAATGTGTATATTTGCACCAGAGCTTTCATGAGAATGTATTTTGTTGTGTCTATAACTCTGGTGATTAACAAGTTGTATGGAGTATGACAGCATGTGTCTATACACTGGTGCTGCCTCATCTTTATAATTTCTTTACCACAGATTGAGTTTAACCAGGTGCGTCCCCTGGTTGTAGACATGTCTTTTCTTCGGAAGAGCCTAGATTTGAGGTTAATGCTTACTACCAAGAGAATCGTGATATCTTTAACTGTAAGCCCCTTATCTCTATGAGAATCATGTAAACTTTCAACCTTTCATTTTCTAATATTCAAGAACACACCGGAAATTAGTACCTATCTCTTTCATATTTTTGTTGGTTTCTATTTGGCTCTGTTTGCTCACACTCGTCTTCTTTTTAACTGAGTTTGTCACAGATATTATGATCTGGAAACCCTTTGTATATTTCAGGACGACGAAGAAGATTGTATAAAAGCTCTAATTTCTTGTGCCATTCTCGATCCAGACGTTAAGGGTGGGCTTCGATGGCCACTTGGGAAGGATACATTGGGAGGTCGGTACACTATAGTTGGTGTCTGGCATACCAGTGCTAAAACATACAGAAGTTCATCATTCAGGCTTAAGGTTCGACGTGCAGATCGATTTGATTTCAGAACATCATCTGGTGAGGTTTCAGGGGAGGTTATTCTGAAAATGCACGGAGTTGTAGCGCTGATGCAGGTGAGCTTTGTTTTCTGACAGTTATGCTACATTTCTAGGTTGTATTCAATCTGTGCACAAGACATACATTATCAGTGTGGTAGTGGCATCAACATTTGTTTCCTATGGTAACTCCATATAAACATATACCGCAAAGAAGAGCTCCTCTTATTTTTTGTCTTGTTCTTCTACTTGAACTGCAGAAGCAAACATTTGAAAATGACAAAGTGGTGCAATTGCTTGGAGATGATTTGAAGTTTATATGGGATCACTTTATGTGCATCAATAAGTGAACTCAAAATTTTGGATTTCGGAGATGGCTTACTTGTTATAGGCCTTGTAGCATTTTCATCTCTTGTAAATAACTTTTCCAGCAATTTGGTATTAAAGCTCTAATGCTGTTTTGGTACAATGATTTCTTGTAAACCCATCCCCCACTTCACCCCAAAGTTCAAACCTCATTGACCTCAGTATTAGCTCTGAGTTTTGGCAACCATCGTGCTTTATAATGACACGTAGCCTTTTGAAATACTGAGTGAGAAATTGTTACAAACCTACGGACCTACTAAGTTGGTTAGTACTTCCTCCGTCTCATCGGATTTTGCCAAATTTCTCTTTTTGGTTCTCCCACAAAACTTTGCCATCTTCCTATTAAAATAACTAATTTGTGATTCTGCACATTTATCTCTCCTCTGCACAAATCTCAACCAATTTATTATTCTCATTTCTCAGTCATTTTGTACTTGGCAAAGTCACCGGGACAGAGGTGATATTCTGTATATATTATGAATTTTACATAAATAAATTTTATATTCTATATTTTGAATTTCGTCGTGTTCTTATTTAACTACTAGTGCACTAGTGTTACTCATTACTCAATTTCGTAATCCTCTTTCAGTTACATTTCAAGTACTCAATTGGGAAGAAGAAATATAGTTGATGAGGATCTAAAGCATACGGTAGAAATGTAGGAATAGTATACGATAGTATATGAGAAGAGAATTGCACTAAGAAATGCAGGAATGATTATTTTTTTAAAAAAGAAAATTTTGAAATTAGAAATTGGAAATAAAGGCATGCATTTAGCTCATACTAGTACTAAATTTAAGCTGCCCAAGTATTTTCTATTTAGTATCGGAGAAATCATAGTATATGTAGTTCAGTAGTTGCTTCACTTTCTTCATTATATCAACAATCTCAATAAATCACCTCCATGAAACGAGGTTCTATAAAAGACCGGAGTTTGGTGTAGAAGTGGTGGAAGAATTTTTGTACTGTCATTTAAATAGTGTAATAGAGGTCTACAATATGACATAGAGCATATGATTAACTGATAATCTCATACACCTAGGGGTGGACCGGTTCCGGTTCGGGCCTGGGCCCGGCCGGGCCTCGGTTCAGAAAAATGAGGCCCGAGCCCGAACCGGTGGTGGGCGGATCCGGGTCCGGTTCCGGGCCAGGCCGGGCCACCCGGATTTTTAATTTTTTTTTTCTTCTCTTATTTAACCCCCTACCCCTCCCTCTCCACCCCAAACCACCCCAAACCACCTCAAATGGCCCAAAATACCTAATCCAACCCAAAACTTAAAAAAATTTCCAAAAAAAAAAATTTAAATTCCGGCCCGAACCGGGCCCGGCCGGGCCCGGCCGGTTCACTAAACTGGAGGCCCGGGCCCGGACCGCTATACCACCGGGCCGGGAGGCCCGAACCGGGCACGAACCGGTTCACCGGGCCGGTCCGGGCCCGCACAGTAGCGGGCCGGTCCGGTTCCGGGCCGGTTGGCCCGGCCCGAGTCCATCCCTATATGTACCCCGTCCGCACTATTAATGTTTGTCACTTTTTCTTATTTGGTTGTCTTAGTTTCTTTGACACTTTCATATGTTATTAATAATATTAGTGTTATTCCTGTCTCCTTCCCACAAATTTTAAGTGCAAATTTTTTCTTGATCAAACTTGACAATGAATTTAGTGAGATATATAGATTGTGTAGAAGAGATTGAAAAGTCGATCAGATGAAATAAGAGGAATTAATTCCACTTTTGATCCTACGAGTTTTGTGTCAATTTCACCTTTACTCCACATCTTTCACTTTATCCACTTTTGGTACTTGATTAATATTTTTAACCGTTTGTGGTCCTTTTCCGGTGATTTTAATCATCGAAAATAATGCCGGAAGGAAGATATATGGGGAAAAACACAATAATTATGTATGAAAAGTGACAAAGTGAAAGATGTGGATTTAATGTGAAATTGACCTAAAACTCGTAGAATCAACAGTGAAATTTATTCAAATATAAGAGCAATGTAGCATGGCAGTTATAGACTTATAGGAGTGAATTAGAAGAAATGAATTTACCCTACCCTTCCCCAACCCCGATCTGTTATGGGTCAACCCTTCCCTACTCAATTACCCTACCAAGTTCTTATTAACCGGTGGCATGACTTCAAGTCTGCAACAATGGCCATTGGAAAAGAATTGGCCCGAGCTTGACGTATCACTGGTCCTGACTCCTGATTCTATTTGTATGACCAGTGTAATGAAATAAGGCGGCCCTTCATTTCATAGATCTAATTTAAGTCTGTATAATTTATTGTAGTAAAATGAGTAAGGCCATGAACCCCAATACCCCCATCATTAATTCATACTCTCTCCGTCCCTCAATGTTTACCCTAGTTTGACTTCACAATGATAAAGAAATGAATTTGCTTTACACTAGCGACACTGTTTGACACTATAGCGACACTGTTTGACACTGTTTTGCACGATAAAGATTTGTTTGCCAAATAAGGAAGTTAAAAAAGTAGGACAAATATTTTGGAACTTCCATTTCAGGAAAGTAGGACAAACATTGAGGGATGGAGGGAGTATTATAAAAGAAGAGGAAAAAGATGTTCATAAATTTCTTTTTTCATTTTTCTTCAAGGACTTCTCGTTAAAAACAGAGACGGTTCTTATTGACCACATTGTTTTTCAAGTTCTTTAAATCTACCAAGCACTCCCTTATTACGGAGTATATAACACATGTAAGATCAGTCACTCCGAACAAGCATACAACACCAGTCCGTATACTGTGCAACCGGAGCATGGTGAGCACCATGCTTCACACCCCAAAACGACGTAGCTTTGATCAATTTTAAATAAATACAAATTCGTGTGAACAGTATACGTGTGTACAATGTTTTTTTGATTTTCATCCCAGTAGCATGGATATGTAATTCGCGTGTAAAGATATGTAACTCGCGTTCTTGATCAATGTAACTCAAACCCAAATGAGATGTAACTTGTCAAATACATAGTATACGAAATAAAACATTGATTTCAATGTAAACAATGAAAAAAGAGAATCTAATTATTTTAAATGTAACACGCGTTGATGACAAATGTAAGTTGTTGAGGTAAGTCCAAATGTAACTCACTTATAAAAAGATGTAACTCATGCACATAAATATGTAACTCGTTCATAAAAAGATGTAACTCCATGTAACTTAAGATGTAGATTTGTATTAAAGAGTTTAACTCCATTTTATATGTAAAAACTAAAAACCAATTAACCTCATCGATCAAAGCATGTTAGATTAATCTGAATGGAGAAGTTTATACGAAGTATTAATCTGAATCGATTCATAGCAGCCTATTACATCAAAGCAATAGAATTTGCTTCAATTTTCAAAATGAAAATCAGCGCAAGAGAGAAAGCAAGGAAGAAAAGTTAGTGGAAAAAAAAGTTAGTGGAAGCATGAGAAGAATAAAATTTTGGTGAAGGAAACCTTAGGTCAGTTGAGTGAGTTGTGGGAAGGGTGCTGGAGAAGAAAAAGACCGTGATGGATCCGAGAAACGATTTTAATTGCATAAGAACGATACCGTATTAGAACCGGGCATACCATGCACATGGTATGCCGATTGGACGGTATAAATTGCGATACAACACCAATGGATGTCACCCTAAATAAACGAATCAGCACGCAACTTCCAAACTAAAAAATATTCAAGTGTGGTCCGTGACTCCGTGTACCACTTATAACAAGCGCTCAAAAATGCACTACACAGTCCTTAAATAAAAGGTCTAGCGACCCGATGGGGGCTCAGCCAAAGTAAGAAAACCCCAGAAGCAGTCCCCAGAATCCCAGATGAGCATAGGTTCTTCAATTGTCTTCACTACTTGAATCATTACGGTTCCCAGGTATTAACTTTTTGGCGACTTGACCAACAGCTTGAGAGGTTTTCTTTGCTACCCCAGCAACAACTGTCTTCACAGATATGACTGGCAGGTTTGCCCTTTCCTCGATCATTGCTATTTAATTCAAAGATCAACTTGAGAATGTTGTAAAAGGAGATTGGTATATAAAAACCCAGGGGAAAAATCTTGAATGGAAAAGGAAAACAAATGTTTTCTTACACATTGTGTGTTGGTGCGCAAGAGAACCTATTCGTCTAACACCAGCTTTTGCTGCTTGCACAGCTTGAGCAGATTTGCTAACACCATCTGCAATTTCTTTGCTAAAATACAAATCAATAAACACATTACTAATGGAAGACTCAAGAGTTATTGCATTAAAATAGCTTAAATAAGATGCCCGAAAGATTATCATGACACATACATTTTCCAATCACAGATCCTTTAAGGTTGAATGTTAAATGAGATTATTGTTAAAGTATGTGGTTTCACTAATAGATACATAAATCGCTAAACTAGGCGCGATCTGCGTACCGATCGCTGCGTACCCAATCGTGGTACGAAAGCGATCCGGTCACACCATGGAACGCTCTACGGTACGCTGTGCCAGTCGATCCCAATCGCACCTGGAAGAGAGCGCAATCATCGTCTGATGCGACCTCAGTCGTCTTCAAACGCGATCGGAAAATCAACGCAGGTCGTTCCGTGGATTGTTCCCCATCGATCGCAATTTGAAAAGGGAAAAAACGTCGTTTGACTCGTTTGAGACGCCCAGGTTTGAGTATTAATACGATTCGTTTCAGACGCCTGTAATAATAGGCGTACCGATTTCCAACCAGCTCTTTTTTTTTTAAAGACAGCTCTTCGTTGTTTTTTTTGAAAGACAGCTCTTCGTTTTTTTTAAAGACAGCTCTTCGTTTTCTGATGATCCTAATTATTCCTACTCATCAATTTTACATTTTAATTAACTGTTATAAATTGAGGGAAGATGCTCTGTTTTTGTTCAATGTTGAAATCTGTAATCTGTATTCTTTTTTTTGTTTGACAAAGTAATCTGTATTCTATAATTCAGTTTTATATTTTTATTATAGTACCAAAAATTAGGTACGGCGTACTGAACATATGGTACATCGTATCGAACGCGTACCGAAATGAACCTACCCCCCTCCGAATCGGATACGCTAGATCTAGCAAACCGCGTTCCCGTTCCTCGTTCCCGTATCGAACCATACCGCGAACCATGTGACTATGGGTTTCACTCTTAGGCTCATCAGATTTGATACCACATTTATACTTAAAGTTCTATCTTATAAAAGGTCAACCATGTAAAAAAGAGTAGCCACGTAATTCAAGATGCTGCTTGTAGGACTAAAACCTGTTATTTTCAAGGTCACATAGCAGCAAGTCCAGCAGCTCAACCAGTGCGCCAAGGCCCTTATCTTTAAACAATAGAAAGAACGATACTTCCATCATGGGCGAAGTTAAATGTGATAAGGTACACTTTGTCTAACTGTAACAGCTTATTGACACCAACTTTCTATTACTTATTATATAAAATAAATGTCATATATATATATGTACTCTATTGGTTAGGTACTTCCTAGGCACCAAGAGAAACATTAGTATGTCATTAATATGTTAGGCAATTAATGTGGGTTTGCACGTGACTGAAAAGCATATTCTATCATTAATGTGTGAGTTGCTGGACTTGCAGCTATGTGACCTTGAAATCACAGGTTTTAGTCCTACAAGCAGCACCTTGAATTATGTGGCTACTCTTTTTTATATGGTTGACCTTTAAATGTACACTTTGTGAAAACATTTAAACAAAACAAAAATATCACACCACGTATCTTATAGCCTGAAGGAATGACACCTTAGATCAGTCAATTCTAGAGTTAAATCACTGATTTCTATCCCAGAAAGCCTGAGTGCAGCCATTGTACTAGGAAGCTCCTCACGGGCAGTGTCAGCAAGTTTTGAAAAAGAAATAGCTGCCCTTCGCATTGCCTACAATAGATTGAAAATATGCATGTTAAAGACCTCAGCACAGAAATTGAGATTTATGTAACCAACTATGAGAAGTTAAAAAAGAACTAGAACAAAAGGGCTAGGAAAACCAAACAAGGTTATCAAAATCGCGATTCAACTCATAAAGTCGCATATAAAATCGGATTTCAGTAAAGTCGTACGCAATCGTACTTAAATCATTGCAAGTCGTGTGAAATCGCAATTTTAAAACGATTGAACGACTTTGATTTGCATGACAAAGCATGCCCGGAACAAACCTCAGCGAGATTTGTTGCAGTCTAAAGTATCAAGATGAGTTTTATATAGGACAAAGAAGAGGAGTGCTTCTGTCCTTCCGTATGTGGGAACAAATGCAAATATAAGGGGAGAACAAAATCCCAACTACTTCCAACCAAGAATCCATCCCACGTTATCATCTCATAGGAATTATCTTCCACTACTAATACATACATTTGGATCTATTAGCATACATATAAATTTCCAACTATGCAATCCAAATATACCCAAATTACAAAATACAATTACAAAATTCATTTGGATTCTTTTACTATACTCCCTCCATATTTTAAAGATTGTTAAACTAGCCGTGACACGTTATTTAAGGAGGAAAATATTAGGGATACTGAATAGTGTAGAAAAAAGTAGGAGAGAGAGTGTAAAAGTATGAAAGAGAAGATAAAAGGTAGAAAAAATAAGGGTAATTGAGTATTTTTAAAGGGAAAACATACCACAAGAGGAAATTTTAGCAAACTTTTAAAAACATCCCAAAAAGGAAAGTGTAACAAACTTTAAGATATGGAGGGCGTGTTATTTAGAATTAAAAAAAAAACATACATAGTATAATTTTAAGATTCTGTGTTTGATTTCAGTATTCAATATTTGTACATTCCATCTTTCTATATAATGTAACTTTAATTTATACTCTTGTTGTTTGCATATCATGAAATGTGATTAACATATCATATTTATTCATTGATTGATGGTTGTTCTTTGAATGTGTAATTACTTTATTATTTATAATTTTGTGAACAATCAACTATGATTAAGACATTATTCTAAGATTTAACCATATGGTGTGAATTATTATTACTATTAATTTGTGAGTTTTCTTTTATCTATATATTTTAATATTTTTTTTATTTAAGAAATCATACGATTTACGATTCGATTCAATTATTCGATTTTCAAATCCTTCCCACCAATTCGATCTAAAAATACTCCCTCTGTCCCACAATGAAGTTCGCGGTTTGACCTATACACACATATTTATGTAAGGTAGAGTTTTGTTTTGACTTTCCAAGTTTACCCTTACTTTATGTCAAATCAAGCAAAAAGTGGGTAAAAAGTAAGGGTAGTTGTGACTTTTGGGATAAAAGTGGTTTCCTTTTATAGAAATGAGAATTTCTTTTGGGGACATCCATAAAAGGAAAGTGAGAATTTCTTTACGGGACGGAGGTAGTACTATTTTAACAACCTTGAGCCCAAGCTAAACATTTGATTTTTGGTAAAAAATAATAATTTCTCATTATCCTATGAATATGACGGCAGTTGTACTTCCACTAATGTGATGAAAAATGTAACTGAAAGAATAGAATGTATTGAACCTTTAAAGGGAGGTGCTACTTCTCTTTCTTTCCAGACACCCACTCATTTAGGATAGGTATGAAACTCGGAAAATGGTTGGGAAAAAACAAAAAAAGAAATTTATTGTTAAGGATAATTGTAATTTAAAACTTGGATTTATCATATATATGCCATGGAAAATTAATGTTTTTAAATTTGATTTGGAATATTAGAATGTTACATGTATGTAAGATTTGTTAATCTATAAATTTATTCCCTTCATTGTGTTGGAGACTTGGAGTTTGTCAAGTTGGACTGGTAAGTGGAATCAGAAAGTAAAAACTGTGATTGAGGTTTGTGTGCAGGAGAGCGAAATAACATAGACTAAGTAACAAAAAAGTTGATAAATAGGAAAACAGTTGGCAAAGTCTAGTGGGATGGAGGTAGTGAAAATACATAAACAGCCTGAACAAGTCTCTAAAATTGATTTGAACAAGCTTGTTCTTTCCATAGCACTTTCCCAGTTCCGGAAACGGTCCTCAACAAAGTTTAGAAAGCTAAAAACCACAATATTGTGAGTATATTGCTACTATTGAGACTGTTACTTGCAGCACTATTGAGTCATCTAAGTATCTAACTAGGTGATCAGCAATACCCCCCCCCCCCCACTGCACCCTGCCATGTAGGTTGTAAAGTACAGAGCAATTAAAACACCAATGAAATGAAATTAAGACTCAAGAGCAAGGATACCTGTAACATACTTGGTTCTTCATAGAAGCATCTAAGCAAGTCAAACATCCATAACATATTAACATGAACCATCATTTATTATAACTCCCCTAATTATTTCAAGGTTATGCTTTGATTGCTTTCAACAAAGTAATGGATGGCTAACAGGAGACTTACAAATAGAGTTGGTACAGCTGCAAATGCCAGGCTCGTAAACGCCAAAGATGTCTGCATTTGCTAGTAGTTAGTAGTAGCATGATGTAACATAACACATTGGAACTCAAAAATAAAATAATTAAATCTCAAATGTCTATAATCAAGAAGAAGACATCCTAATCAGAAATCAATTAATGTTATCCTAAAAAGGCTAAAATACACATATAATAAAGGAAGAACCACTAAGGGGCGGGGTTACCGTGACAGTGATGAAGGATAATAGGAAGAAAGCTTGGTCGCTTAAGCTCAATTTGGGAACCGAAATAAAGGTCGGAAAAATCCTTGGACTTCCCACTTGGTTACTCAGGGAATCGCTCTCTGACTTCGGAGAAACGTTGATGTTCTCCAACTGTTGATACGTTGTCGTTTCGTCATCCTCTTTACCAACAATGGCAGGCGAAGATTTCGATTTGGACATTGATACGGAGAAACGTGACTGTTTTGAGGAGGAACATTGTCTAAAAAATGGAATGTGGGAAGAAGACGAAGAGAGGGAATGCGACGCCGTTCTAGTGTTAGGATAAGAGAAGATGAGACCTGAATAGGTTGCCGGAGAAGAAAGACCGCCGATCAGCCTCATCACTTCACCTGTTGAGGCTGAGAACTGTCTTGCAGGCTGAGGATCAGCTGCCGATGCTGAAAGTACTTTTTTGTCCACAATTTTTTTTTTGTTTTCCTTACGAGTCAGGGGTGTTTGGATCTCATCTAATTCTCAAAATTGATTATGTTCCTTCGGGGAGTACAAGATGAAGTGTTTGGGTGAAATTCCAGAAGCACTTCTGGAGTTCAAATTTACTCTCAGAATCAGTTTTTTTAGAAACTGGGAGGTATCAGCTTCTGAAAACTGATTTTGATTCTGCTTCTGCTTTTAAAAAAGAAGCAGAAGCAGAATCAGTTCCAAACACCCCCTTATTGTCATTTTCAGTCCAGAAACTATCATGTGGTTCACGCTTTTGATACTTCACTTTTAGAGCCCGTTTGATGACCCTTTTTTTTTACTTATCAGGCTTATCAGTCAGCTTTTTCACCAAACACGTAATTTCTGATTTCGCGCGCTGAATTTTGTAATAAGTAGAAAAAGTAAGGTTGAAGTTACTTTTCTGGCTGTATTGGCTGAAGTTACTGTAGATGATCATTTTAGCTATTTTTTCATATAATTTTTTATTTAATTTATTGATAACAAATATTTTAAATATAATTTTTTCATGAATCAGCAGAATCAGCCAATACAGCCACTTCAGCCAGAACTTCATAAATTTCAGCACAATAAGCCAATTCAGCCAATTTTAGTGTTACCAAACGGGCTCTTAATTTTTTTAAATTTTAGTTTCAACTATTTTAGTTCACCGAGTATAGTCAAATATACTTTCTTAATCCTTAAACTATGATTTTGACACAATAAAAATACATAGATGACTAAAAATGTCATTATTATAATTGTTGAAGGATAAAAAATGTTACTTTTATGAAACTCATAGGACTAGATATGAAAATTTTCAATGATATGTACCAAAACTGTTTCTAGGCAATAGTCGAACCCTAAAAGTTGAAAAAATCAAAGTCGAATATCAAAAGTGTTTGACATAATAGTCGGAGGACTAAAAGTGACAAAACTCTTTTCATTACTATTGTTGCTAATGTTGATGTTACTATTATAATAAGTACTGTTGTTGTCGTTATTATAAGTGAGTCTTACTACTACAAGTACATACTACTTTTTGTTTTTTAATCTTTAATAATGTTTCCTTAATTGATCATATTTTTATAGAAATTAGAAATCAACCCATTAACATTATTAGGAACCGAATCATTATCGCTTTATAACTCATGGGTAGGAACTGACTGGACCAAGTTATAATAATTCTATTTCAACCACTTCTTCGGTTCCTTGTTTGGAAGAGTCGTACGACATTGAAATCTAATGCAAAAAATTGAACCATGATCTTCAACTTTAATAATTTATCTTATTTCAAAAAAACTTTAATAATTTATCTAATTTAATTACTCCGTATTATATAAACCAGCATGCGTAATTAAAAGTAATGTATTGAGTAAAAAGTATTGACCAATAAGGGGCAAGACTATTCATATACTTGAAGCGGACAAAAGTACTAATATGGATCAATAAGGGACAAAAATATTTCCATGGCATTGTGAAACGGAATCTGGATCGTAATGTCATTACTTCCCTCACTTTGGACAATGGGAATCTTACTACTTCGTTTGAAAGTTGGAAAAGAATTTGTTAATTTCTTTACTAGTCTTTTTGGCACTAGTTTTGAGTCTTCTGAAATTGATTTGAGTGTTTTGGCCTCCGGGGAAACTCTTGATCCTACCCTCTCTTGAGTGATAGTCTTGTGAGTCATATTTTGGATTTGTAGATTAAAGGATCTCTCTTTGATATTAGAAATAACAAAGCCCCCGAGCCCAGTGGCGTATCCAGAAAAATATGTCAGTGGGGCAAACTTACCTTGGGTTAAAAAAACACCATAAAAATCTCACTAATCAAGTTAAGAAAAAAAAATTGTAATATCAATTATAAATGGTAAAATATCTTCTGGACAAAAACATTATAATATCATGTTTCATTAAATTTCACTTCGTTAGAAATAGTTGTATCCACGACATTTTTAATTTTGTGCAAAATTATGCCAATAAATAAATGGATCAACTGAGAGAAGGATCAAGCATGTACCTAAAATTAATTTAAATTACAAATTCACAAGTATATGAAAATTTTAGTTTATGTTATGTACAAAAATGTAGTAATAATTGTTAAAGTTTATGAATTATATGTGAAACTAAAACTGTAATTATGTTGTTGTAGTTTAGATGTTTCCAAGAAGATTAGAATTAAAAAGAACTATGTGAAGCCACCTTCAATTAGTTTAAGGCATCAAAGGGCAAAAAGCAAAGAAAAAGCACTAAAAAGCTGAAACGAGGTTTCGAACCCCAACCTCAAAGAAGGATTTCTGATACGCGAACGGCTCATTCCATTCCACCACCAATGCCATTAGCAACAAAATCATGCTTAGTATATGTGACCTTTTTATTTAATATATAATTATGTATATATAATTTTAAATTGTATAAATATATATAGGGGTTGGGTGTGGGTTGAGAGGGGTAGCTTCCCCCACTGCCCCACACTATACGCCCCTGCCAGAGCCGGATGATTTTTTCGTCGCTTTCTTTAAAGAAAATTGGAACATTGTGGGTGGGGATATTGTCAATGCTGTTACGTAATTCTTCTCTTCGGGTAAGATTTTAAGGAAAATAAACCACACGGTTATTGCTCTTATCCTAAGAAATCTCATTCTCCGGGAGTGGTGGATTTTAGATCCATATCTTGCACAAATGTTTCATATAAAATTATCATGAAGATCATAGCGGCTAGACTTATTCCTTGTTACTGGATTTAATTGATAAAGCCCAAGGTGCATTTGTTGATGGTCGCCTAATGTTTGATAACATTTTCCTAGCACAAGAACTTGTTAGAGTATACACTAGGAAACATATTTCACCTAGATGTATGATCAAGTTTGACTTGCCTAGGGCCTATGATACAATATCTTGAGAATTCTTGGCTAGCATACTCCATGGTTTTGGATTTCATTTGCAATTTATTAATTGGATCATGGAGTGTGTGTCAACGGTCTCATTTTTTTGTCTCACTAAGTGGATCATTGTATGGATTTTTTTAAGGGAAAGAGGGGTATGCAGCAAATGGATCCATGTCACCCGTTCTCTTTGTCCTTTGTTTGGAATATTTTTCGAGGCTTTTAAAAATAAGGTCCAATGATGCTAGCTTCAAATTCCACTCGTTATGCAATTCACTTGGTATCACTCACTCAGACTACACGGATGATGTAATTCTCTTTTCAAGGTGAGACACAACCTCGATTAAAATCTTGGTTGATGCCATGAAAGACTTCGGTGAACATTGATAAGTCCAATATTTTTGTTGGAGACATTCCGAATTTTGAGCTAGCACATATCATGGACCTAGTTTATTTTGGGAAGGGGGATTTCTGGTAAAGTACCTTGGTATTCCCCTCACACCCCTAAAAATTTCTATGGCACAATATTCTCTGTTGCTTGAAACAATCACCGATTTTCTAAATGCGTGGAACACAAAAAAACATTTCCTGTGCCGGAAAGGTTGAACTAATACAATCCGTCGTACAAGGGGTTCAATCTTTTTTGCTACAAGTTTTTCCGGTTCCTCAAAGGATTTTGTACCATATTGTAGCAATTTGTAGTTTATTCCTATGGGGAGGCAAGTTTTCAAAGGTGGCTTGGAACGATGTATGCCTCCCCAAAGAGGAAGGTTGACTTGACATCCGTAATACCAAAGTATTTAGTGATGTCCTAACTCGTACATTATGGAATATCCATACAAAATCGGATACATTATGGGTCAAGTGGATTCACAATGTTTATCTCAAAGGACGATATGTGTAGGGTTTCAGTGTTTCACCCCACACACCCGGGACTCCCAATTGATGAAGAGGCTTGGCCTTATTCGAGATAATATTTGTAGACTATTTCCTTCCATTAGGAATGCCATCGTAGCAGTTAGCAATATGTGCGAAAATGAAAAAATTATGACTTCAAAGGTTTATGATTTGCTAATGGTCAAAGGGACAACAAGGTGTGGATGTCTTTCATTTGAAAGGAATACCTCCCCCCCCCCCACACACACACCCCCAAATTGTTCTTCACTACTTGATTATCATGTAGGACAAGACTCCCGACCCAAGACTCACTTTTATACATGAATATTGTTAACCTATGTGATCTTTGCAAGGGTTACAACGAAAGTGTGCCACACCTATTTTTCTTGTGTTCATACTCTTACAAGGTTTGGGATGCTATAAAGAGTTGAATGGGCATGGAGTGACACATGACTACTCTGGCAAGTTCAATCAAATGGATAAAAAAGAACCGAGGAGGGGCAACCGTGAAGGCAAAGGCGGCTAGGACTGCATTTTGTGCCACTGTCTTCTGGATTTGGAGAGCTAGGAATGCCATTAGATTTGACAAGGCAACACTTAAAGAAGAGGCAGTCTTTTGATAGGATCAAGAATGTGGTATACAAAGTTATGTATAACAAGTATTCACATGAATTGGTCAATTTCTAAGCGAGAAGATGTGGTATCAAAGACCTTTTTTGATATGCCACAGACTATGTATAGTAGCCAAAATGTATAGTGTGTTGCTTATGCAAACACTACTGATTGCTAGACTTTTAGACTAGCTTGATCTTTTTGACAGGCCTCCTTGACCTATTTTGACGAAAAACCCTTCTCCCACCCTTGTTAATTTCCAAATAAGGGTGGGTGGGAGGTTATTAGATTTTGGACACATCTATATGTTATTTTCTGGGTGCTAATATAATTACATTTCATCCTAAAAAAGTTGTATTTGTTATATTCCGGATCGGAACGAGTGAGGTCACGTGAGTAATAAGTGATTATATGCTATTTTTAAAATTTGGGAATATAATCATTATGACGCCTTAAATATTTCTCATTTTAAGTTTCGATAGTGCTGATTTTCAAGAAGTAATAACTTTTTATTCATAATGAGTTATGAAAGCCATAATATATATTAAACCGAAGGTATTTTAGAGCTTTATACTCCTAAATTTTCAGAGTCGGATGACCACTATGACCCCTGGCTCT